TGACAAAGGGCAGCCCTGCCAGAGTCCAACATGCACTGGAAACAAGTCTGACTTACTGCCGGCGATGCGAACCAAGCTCCTGCTCCAGTCGTACAGGGACCGGACGGCCCTTAGCAAAGGGCCTCGGACCCCGTACTCCCAGAGCACCCCCACAGGGCGCTGCGAGGGACATGGTCGAATACCTTCTCCAGATCCACGAAACACATGTGGACTGGTTGGGCAAACTCCCATGAACCCTCCGCCACCCTGAAGAGGGTATAGAGCTGGGTGGGCGACATCACGGTCCTTGACCGGCTCATAAGTAATGCTTAAAAAGGTGAAAAGTAAATAGATGCCAAATGCCATAGCAATAGTGAACTACATTAAACGGCGTGCCAAGAACAGCTGTTGTTTCATACAGCTGTGCAAAAACCTGGGATTAGGGCAAGATTTTCAAAATAAAGCTAATTATTTAAAAAGTATGAAGTTCAGAAAAGTTCTAAAAAGAAGCATGAATGTCCTTGAAGAGCTGCACATTTTGAAAGGTGAAAGTGTGCTGAAGTAGAATTTCCCCTCCATTTGAATCGGGCAAGATTTTCAAAATAAAGCTGAATATTTTAAAAGTATGAAGTTTAGAAAAATTCTAAATAGAAGCATGAATGTCCTTGAAGAGCTGAACATTTTGATACCTTAAATAGCTGAAAGTATGCTGAAGTAGAATTTTCCCATTCATTTGAATGGGGCAAGATTTTCAAAGTAAAGCTAAATATTTGAAAAGTATGAAGTTTAGAAAAATTCTTAATAGAAGCATGAATGTCCTTGAAGAGGTGAACATTTTGATACCTGAAATAGCTGAAAGTATGCTGAAGTAGAATTTTCCCATTCATTTCAATGAGGCAAGATTTTCAAAATAAAGCTAAATATTGGAAAAGTATGAAGTTTAGAAAAATTCTTAAGAGAAGCATGAATGTCCTTGAAGAGTTGAACATTTTGATACTGTGAGGAGAGTTCTTTTATTTGAGAAGAGAATGACTAATAAAAGGATATTTTACAGGGTGAAATTTATTATGCATTAACGTATCAAAATAAGCATGTGCACATGGATCTTCACTGTTTAGGATAAACAGAAAAGACTGTCCTCAACTTGTTGGTATACAATATTTGTATGAAACGGTGCTACTATCTATGGAGCAAGAATTTCAAAATAAAGCTAAATATTTAAAAAGTATGAAGTTTTGAAAATTTCTGAATATCGTAAAATGGCTGTTTGCATTTATCATTACAGTAATGCCAGAAATAAAGGTTTTCAATGTTTTTCTTTTCACGGCCTCTGACCCACTATGCCTCTGCTGTGATGCTGTCCTCACACCAAAAATTGACCAGGCAATTGAAAGCAGTTGTTCAGGAGCCACATGAAAAGCCAGAGCCAGAATCACCTCTAACATACTGTCGCCACATCAGCATGTGCACATCAGTAGCTTTATACCTTTCAGTTCAGTGGAGCCGTACTACAGCTGACCTTCAAGCAAGCCATCACATTGGTCATTAATGGGGTACTAGCCCAGGTCTCACAATAATGTGAAAAGCTTTTGATGGTCAACTCAACAATAATTTCAATAAGTAAAATGGTAATAACTCTGTTGATCCGAATTTT